CGGAAGCCCAGCTTCCGTTGCCTCTGGCTTCCCAGGTGCCTGAGGAGGAGGGTGGCGTCTTGATCCGAGTCCAACGGGAAGAGGCGGCTGTCCGGGAAGCGGACCTCTGTGATCTTTGACAGAGCTTTTCTGAAATCGACCCGCTTCTTCACTGAGATGTCAGACAAACCCTGACACACCAGAGCTGCACAGGGGTGGAGCGAGAAATTCAGGAGAAATTAGATCTTAGAAGACAAAACCAGGAAAATGGTGTCAAATTTTCCACATACTGTACAAAATATGGGAACCAACCATGGCTGGGGAGGCCCTGAGCGAAGAGACAAGACAGACAATGATCTCCGTAAGCGTCCCAGCCTTCAGTTGAGTCCAGGACAAACACCAGGCTGTCTGCAACCTTGGCAACATCCAGCAGGGAGTGCATGTCATCTGGCCAAAGACACAAGGAGAAGAGCTTGAAAAATGGGAGGAAGAAAATTTCAAACAATAGCTATTCTGAGCTACAAAAAATAAAATAAAATAAAAATATTAGAAAGGCACAACCCAGTTTGCCAATAATCTGAACAATGGTCATGTCAATCTATAATCAGCTCTAATTAGGGATCGGCACCCCAAACGGGAAAATTATTAGTCTTTTAAATAAACTATGTAAAATTTCCCATTTATTAAATACATCATAACAAAGTACCGCAACCATATTCAGCTTAGAAACAAACCAACCAGCAGCATGAACTCTGAGACCGCTTAAGTTCAATAAAACATAGAAGGAAAATGTAAAACTAAAAATGGCAAACAATTTTGATTTATCTTTAATCTTGGTTTTCTTGTCAATTTTTCTAGAAATACCAACATCGAGTAACAGAAACTGCTGTAGAATCTGTTTTTCTTCATTTTAAAATAAAAAAATATAAGTAAAATATTGCTTCTTTAAAAATGATAACAGCTTCTCAATGGTAAGTATTGGGCCATAATTTTAACAGTTTTTCTTTTTTCAAAAGATAATATAACATTTTGAGTCTCTAAGAGGCATGAATTGCCTTCAGTTCACATTGTAAAGCAACAAGAAAAGAAGAAAAATCCTCTCCCAGAGTATTTTGACATTTGGCAAATAATAGATAAAAAAGATAACGTTGTTGACACTAACTGACCTAAAACATGCTAATTTTGTTTTGATTTAACATGAGAGAGTGAGGAAAAAAACTTGATTATGTGCCTTGTTATACAGTATATGTAAATTCCCAGCCTCAACAAAAAAAAGTATATAAAAAAGCCAGCTAAATATGGGATTAAAGATTATATACGATAATCTTTTATTACTGGGACATTTAAGCTGTCACAGTAGAAAATAGACAGTACAAGATAAGAGAAAAACAACAGAATAAAAAACAGTTGAATAAATACACTACTTCATTTATGCAACTTTTTAAAACCAAACTTTTGATTAAAAAAAACCCCAATACCAAACATTCAACAAATCGTACCTGTGCTCTGGTTTAGAAATGTGAACCTCTGTTTGAAGCGAGGCATAATCAGTCCAAAACTATCTCCGACGCCGCTGACGCATCGCTCCAGGTGCACCACGCCCCCGGCGCCTTCGCCACGTAGCAGCGTGCAAACCGCCCCGGCGTCGCCATTAGCATGCAGGGACACCACGGCCACCAGGTGAGGAGGACCGTCCCTGCTGCCGAGTCGTCGCTTTTCCGTCAGAACCTAAGGGGACAAAAAAAAAAAGTTAACTTTGCAACAGATCGGATATTTTAAATGTTTTGTTCTTCGTGTGCATTGAAATGACCTGGTCTTTCTTCGTTTTCCGAAGCTGATTGGCTTTATGTCGTCTGTCCATCTTCCTCAGCTCTTTCCTCTGTTTTTTAGAAAGGGTCATCACTGACACCCGGCCTAGGAGGAACACGGGAACAAGGGCGTTAAAGAGACGGAGTTCTTTTTAAAATCAGGAAAACAACTGGGGGAGAAAAAAAAAGACAAAGAGTGTGAAGTTATAACTAGGCCTGTCGCAACAGGAAATAAGTCAATTAATCGCATGATAAATTAAAACAAACTCAATAATTTACACCTGCATGATTTGTCGTTTTTTTCTCTTTCTACCAAATACTGGAGGACAAATGTCCTCAGTCTGGTGCTTTGATCTCAACTACTAATTTTATTTGTTGTCTTGTTTATTTATTTTGAGTATTTAAAATGTCTTCCAGTTCCAGGTTTTCCACCTGTGCTGGAATCCAAAGTCTATTGATATTTGAGAATGTGTTCTTGCTTTATCGGGCCAACATCACTGTAAAGCTAGACAATGATTTCAAAATAACAATATTACAATTTATCGCAATAACCTCTGGAACAATTTAATCGACCAGAAAAAAGTAGTTATAGTGACAGGCCTAGTTACAACTTTGCACTCACTGAGCTTTTTCTGTTGAGTGTTTAAATATCAAAATGGCAACAAAAGAACAAAAACAAAAAAAATCTAATCAATAACAGTTCAATTTCTTCTCCCCAACAAGTTTCAATAGTTGTATTTATTTTTTGCTCATTTATGAAAACAATTAAATGCAAGTATTTGATTTGCATTTAATGAGAAAAAGTGAGAGCTTGCATCTTAATAAGTACTGATGCAAATATTGACCATGAATTTGATCGTTGGCTGCAGATCGCCGTACATTTGACTGTGACTCTCAGCTGCACGTAGATCCAGCGAAATAACCCGGAGTCGATCTAAAAGCAAATGTCATGAACTGTCTGACTGAAACGAGTGTTATCTCATCCTCTCAGTATCTTCAGACTGCAGAACACGTGAGTCAATCAAAGCAACAACCACAAAAGACACGCAACGACATCTGTGACACTTCGCCACGGAGCGGGGCCTACCTTTGTTTTCTCTTTCAATTCCACCTTTCGTCCTGTGTTTGCCATGTTTGTGTCCCTTGTTTTTCTGTTTGTAAACGCCGGGTCTGTGGCCCTGTTGTTTTTCTTCATTCGCAGCCATTTTCACCACGTGCGGAAGGTAAGCGAATCTACTTCCTGACTCCTCTGACGTCACCTCGGAGGCGCGTCCTCCAAAGTGATTTTGTTCTTTCAAAATAAAAGCCTCTCCACAAGCGGTGTCTTTTCCTGTTTCTCGTGAACTTCCGTGAGCTATACTGCCATCTACTGGTCAATTAGTGCAAGTGTAGAAAAGTAAATTGTATGGTTGATAATTGTCGAAGTTTCAATTTTATTTTCGGTAAGAAAAAAAAGAATAAATAATAAAAAAAAGAATAATAAAAAAATGTCAACAAAATATCATATTACCTTTGTTTGCTGAATGATGTCTGTACTCAGATTTATGCCGTTGTTGCTTAAATGTTGATTTGCTTAAAATGGAATAAAGATTCAAGAACATGACATTTAACGTTTTTAGACATATCTAAAGTATGCGGCCACAATCTAAACAGTTTAGAAGTGTTTGTTATTTACTTCTCATTCAATATAGTGTCACTAATTTGTGCAGGTAGGCTGTGTAAAGGAGACTATTTTTCAAGGAGAGGATCACAAAAAAAAAACATGTATATTTGCAAAGTGCCAGAATAATGACAAAAAAGCAAGTCTTTTATTCAAATTCATTCACTTAAATATATTTTCTTAGTATTTGACATTCTTGCCTATATACTTTGGTATCGTTCCACAATTCCTCACAGCAGTTTTATGGAATTTTGATCCATTTTGATCCATTCCTCCAAGACAAATAGGTCTAATTAGTCAATTAGTCAAATCAGCTATCTCAGTACAAGAGTTATTCCACTGAATCTTGAAAACATCTTCTGCTTTGTTATTGCAGCAAAAACATAAACATTTCTCGGACACAGCACCAAGAAATGTTCATTCAAAGGTGGGTGGAGCACATTTGATCAGTATTTTGACAAATAAAAAATGTACTTAAGCTAGTAGCTGTGGAGCACTTTTGCTTCTTGTTTTTATTTGAGAAATGCTGAATAATCGCTCCTTTTGCTCGAGTGCACTTTTATCCCAAAATAGATATTACCTGCTGTATTAGTTTCCTAACCTTTGTAGAAAAAAAATACATGGCAAATATTTATTCTGTCTTCATTTGTATTTATTTATACTTTAGTGCAAAATAGTAAAATTTCAAAAAAAAATTTTTTTTTTTAGGTTTATTTTTGAGATATTAAATGAGTTGATCTGATCATTTTATTGATCATTATTTTCACAAGATACCTTCTTACACTTGAAATTTGGTGGACGTTTTTTTTTTCTTTTTGCTTCTGCTTGAGTAAAAATCTGTTGAATTTTACGTCAACACACTTTTTTTTCCCGTACTCTACTAAACTCTGAAACCTCGTTTATTGAAAAATATCTAAACCCACGCGATCCTCCTGCACGGCCCGTGAAAAACTAAAGACTTGAACCTGAAGACGACTGGATCATCCTCATGATCAATACTTATTTTATTGAAGTTGAATCAAAAGGCTACAAACTTCTCCGAGGAGTAAATGCTTTGGATGACATGTTTATGTTTCTTTGCGTTGTTGTTGTTGTTGTTGTTTTTATTTCGGCCAGCCTTCAGGGGTTTTTGAAGCGGTCGGCTCCAGAGTTTCCGCCTCCTGGTGTTCCTGGGTCAGGGAGAGTTTACTGCAACGGGCAGGGCGGAACTGCAGTTTGTAGCATGTCGAGGAGAAGACCTTTACGTAACTCCGCAGTTCAGGTGTCATTTGCGCCAAGTTAAATCTCCAGTTCGTCGAACGGCCTCGCAGACTCCACGGCGGCGCGCTCATGGGTGTTTCTGCCGCCGCCTGAACTTTTTCTCGCGTTCGTCCCTGGTGTATTTTTCACCGAGGAGAGGCGCGGCGGCGGAGCGCTCGGCAGCCATCTTTGGAGCTGGCCTGGGAGTGGGAGCTGACTGCTGTGTGCACCCCGGTTCACTTCAAGGGTGGGCATTTTTAAATCTTTTGGTAATTTCACTGACCTCCTCTGTTAAGTCGGCTGACAGCGCGAAGAGCCGCCAGGACTTTCGCTTTACGAGGCTTCCGCGCTGGGGATGAAACTGGAAAAGTACTTTCTAATCCCAAACTGGTCTGAAGTGTACGCCACTCTCCTCATCTCTCCGAACTGGCCTGTCATAACAGGGTGAGTTCCAGCTAACCGGCTAAGCTAAATTAGCAAACATTAGCTTGTTAGGCTTTTTAAACGTAACTTCCTCTTAATTAAACCAAACTGGTGTTTATTTCAATGTTTGTTGAGTAGTTACACAATAACTCAGACTGTTAACTCATTTGGAACACGGCTTGAGGTGCTCCATCCCATGACACGTAACTTGGATAGCATGAAGTTTGGGGTTAACGTTGTACAGTCAACATTGGGAATCTCTGGAAACCTTTCGACCTACACTCGTGCGTTAGAGCTCAGAAGCGCGTGCCGGCATACGGTCGTCACTCACGAGACGAGCGACTACTTTTAGGAAAATGAAAGAATGTGAAGGCTAACTTGTAAAAGTTGGGAGTTTATCACCAGTGACATGAGCTGAAACGCCCAGGTAAGATGTGATGCTGGTCAAACCCCAGAAGGACTCGCCTGGGAAACACGTGATCAACCTTTACATTTACTAACGGTGCTGATTGTATTAATGCCCAAATGTATTCACGTTTTCCCACAGATTTTTCTACTCTTGGTATACTTTTTGGAGCAGTTCTGCCCAAAGTTGGCCCTCGAGAGCCTGCATCCTGCATGTTTTCGGTTCTCTCCTTGGCTCTACGCGCCGGATCCAGTGATGGCTCATCAGAAGACCTGAGAAGAACACTGACATACTGAAAAGCTTGTTACTACCACCAGCGAGAGAACAAAAACCGTGCAGGATGCCGGTCCCTCGAGGACACACTTTGAGCACCCCTGTTTTATAGAAATTGTCTTTTCATGTCAGAGAGAGATTTTATGTGTTAGAAGGGTGAAATGTGAAATTTTAGGCCTGTATTTTACCATTTCTATATCCTTACTATTAACTGCTCTAATTTCAGTTTAAAGTGCAAAGAGGTTTTTCCAAATGACACCAAAAACAGAGTTTTTAGAAGCTGAGACTGAGAACATGTATGACTATTGATTTACCTGGAAGAAAATGTAATTTCTTCTTTCATGAGCGTTTTCTTTTTTATTGACAAAAATAAATGTCAGTTTATTGGCTTGTTATATTTTTTATTCAGATAAAATATAGGTACTGTAGCACAGAACACATTTTCTAAACCATATTCTGCTTCAAACTAAATATATTCTGCTCACGTTATTCCTCAGTTTGAAACTTAACAAGGCTGTTTTCATGGTAGCTGGGTGTAACAGGAATTGCTCACATATGTTCTTAAAGATAATTTTATTAACATAAACCTCTTCAGTAAGCCCCAGCTATGTTGTTATCAGAAGATGAAATGAAATGACAGCTATTTCTTTTTCTTTTTGTTTTTTTTTCTTCTTTTTTGTCACGCTTTGTGTTTTTCCCCTTCTGCTGTCAGATATTTCAGTGCATGTTTGCTCTTGTTTTTGTGTCAGGGATGCTAGATGTAACTTGTCAAGTTTCTCACTAGGGCCCATTCCAACCTCGCCAGAGCCGCGCGAACAGGAAGTGCAGAGAGTCACGGCGTAGTGAGGGCATACGTTGGGAATTCCAGCCCTCTAGCTTTGTTGTCCTGTCCTGCCGCATTCTTAAGCGTTTTTGTGAGCGGCGGTTTGGAAGGCTTGTCCTGACTCACGGAGGTATCGGCTATCGGCACTTCTTTCCCTTTTGTGTGGGTGTGTGCGTGCGTGTGCGTGCGTGTGTGTTTGCGGTCGAAAACGATGTCATGACATATGACAGCAAAGCTCATTGAGTCGCGCCGATGTCATGAAGGACAATGGCAATAAAGAGGCACAGTCCTGCATGGTAATGAGGCTTTATTTCGTGGCTGTGGCTACATCTGTGTGGAATAGTGGGGTTGTTCAGTGTTGTTGTGAGACAAAAGATGTCTGCTCGGACCGGGGGCTGTTTCGCCCAGGCTGGGGAAGAAGTCTTGTGACTCAAGCATCAGCTCTGCATCTGTTTGCAACTGATCATCTGAGCCACTGCATGGACTCAGTAAATTTTCCTCAGTGATCTTCTACAGTCCACATTAGCAGGGCTGTTCATAACGATGGTGACGGAGAGGAATATTTACTGCCCCAGTGGAGTGTTTTTGCGAAAGAAAAATTTTGAAACAGAGTTTTAACTATTAGAATTATGGCAAACATAAGGAAGATTGGAATTAAAATCAGCGTTAATAAAACACTACAGTCGACTTGATGTATCTCGTAACTCCACATTGCCCAGCTCTGCTTTATTTCTTCTGATTCTAATTCACATGTATTTCTAAAATTGAGAATTGCCATAATCTTGAAAGAAAATGTGTAATGTTCTGTTTGTTTGTTTTTCTGCTCCTGTTGTGTTGCAGCGCTGAACACATGAAATCACAGTCTTGCAGATGAGCCGTCGCAGGGGGCTTGCCCGTCGCTGTCGCAGACCCAGATAGTTCCCGGCGGCGGCGGCGGCACCGCCCCGACGTCCCCCGGCATGCCCAACAACAGCCGGGCGGGGAACCTGAAGGACCCCGAAATCGCAGAACTCTTCTTCAGGGAGGACCCGGAAAAGCTCTTCACAGATCTGCACGAAATCGGACATGGCAGCTTTGGAGCTGTGTATTTTGTGAGTTTTTTTGTTGTTGTTTTTTTAACCGTCTGTGTAGCAAAGCACCAGTAAGTCACCTGGTGATCACATCCACTTATTTTCCCTCAATCAGCTTCCATTCTTATTCAATAAATACGTCAGAACTGCAAACTTTCTAATTAGTTTTTGTTTTTTAGATAATTACATTAAAAAGCATGTGATGCATTTTTTTGTTTGATAAATTATAATGGACTATAAATTGTTCCAGAGATTATTGTGGTAAACAATAATATTGTTGTTTTGACATCATTTTCAGTTAATATTATGATAATGGCATAATATTCTCCTAATATTATGCCATTATCAGATATGATGCTAGTCACATAGTCAAAATGCATTTTGGCCTGTCAAAGACCAATAAACTTTGTACAGAATACTCCATGTTTTAAATGTCCAAAATGTTACACAACAACTAAAAAGAATAAATTCAAAAGAAAAAAAGCCACATACTACCAAAACCATAAATAACAGATTTTATTTCTGTAAACAAAATTTTCCTTTATCCAAAAGTAAATAATTGAGCTCATCTTCATTTATCATGCTATTAATTGCTCATTATAATAGGCTTATTTTAGTATGAATCAAATTATGTTTAGGGAAATATTCTGTCATAAGTAAGTGGAGATTACTTTCTAATCCTGCCACATTTGAGATCAATGTAAAAAAAAAAATCCTGCAGCACATGTGTAATTTCCGAATTAAAACAAAATTTGGACAAATTACATTATCGGCTTTCATTGTCCTTAAAATACAATAATAGTACAATTAGAAGTAAAAGAAAAGCAGAAATTGGAATTGGATTATGAAGTGATCTGTACTTACAGAAATGTTTATGGTCTTTTTCAGCATGACTTTTGAATTTTTGTTAAAAAACCATAACAAAAAATTACATTTTTGTCCAACTACCTAAAAAAAGGTTTTATTCCGTACAATTCTAGATTAGAGTGTGTTTATAAGTTTGTTTCAGTCTGAGGCTTCTAAAGATTATGTGATTGATTGTGCTTACCACAATCAATCACATAATCATTGCCATTGTTTATGCTCTTAATACCGGACGAGTATGTGTATTTCAGTTGGCTCTAAATGTTTGAGTACTCCCAACACATTATTTTTGCTCTTGATCAAGTAGTTTAAATGGTTGAAACCTAATTTTGTTTGATTATTTATTGTTCAGTTATTCTCCAAATCTTCCATTTTATGATTATTATTATTAGATCAGTGTCTCCAAGCAAAATCTGTTTTTTTGTTTGGTTTTACCATCCAAATACAACAAATATTGCTGTTTATGCTCTGTAGCAACAAACTGCTGGTTTGACGGTTTAAGGAAAGCATTTTGCAATTTGTGGATGTGTTCATGCACAAAAATAAAACAAACAACACAAAGAAAACAATCTTCAAGTATTTGTTAAATTACAGTGTTTACAATCAGTTCTTCTCATCTCCTAGGCACGGGATGTGCGGTCAAATGATGTGGTGGCCATCAAGAAGATGTCCTATAATGGAAAACAGTCTAATGAGGTATAATGGCGTTTTCTGGATGCAAACATATGATCAAAAACCAGGAATGCTTGCGCTTTGGGTCATAATGTAAACACTTTTAATCAATTTTGCCTTGAATGCAACGGGAGGAAAAAAAAAAAAAAGAATTGCCCACAAACACAATCTATGTTTCTACAAACAGCTGTGTATAGTTGGACTTTTTTTTAAATTTATTTTCACAACCTGGACAAATTATGGACAACACTGCATGGTGTGTTTGGGTGTCCTATATGCTACACAATGCAAATGTAAAGGTTTTGTGGGGCTTCAGATTTTGCACCTTTTTGCTGTCATTTTAATCACATTGCATGCAAAACAATACATGTGAATTAGTCAGTTTTCTGAACTGACAGCATTATATTCTATTATTATTATTTTTTCCTTCATAAAATGTGCTTCCAAGTTATTTTGGGGGTATCTTAACGCAAAAACTAATTTGATGTTGGTGTTCTTTTTCCAAACTCTCTGCACTGGTTTCACAGAAATGGCAAGATATAATCAAGGAGGTGAAATTCCTGCGGCGAATACAGCACCCAAACAGCATAGAGTACAAAGGATGTTACCTGCGAGAGCACACTGCTTGGGTAAGGGCTTCTGTTTTTTTGTTTTTTAAATCAGGTAAATTGGAAAGTGACGAGGCCTGCTTGATTGTGGAAACAAAAACTTGTGATTGTGATTGTTTTTTTAACAAAACTAATATTTAAGATGAATACACCTTTAACAACCAACTTGAAGGACAGGTAGTTGCTGTGAACATGAAATTAAAAATTTATTTAATTTGTTAAAAATAAGTGGGAAGTATTGATCCAGATGTAGCCTTTCTTTAAGAAGTAAACGCAAAGAAAATCAGCCACATGGTTTACATCAACAAACCTTTGGAAAATAAATGAATACACTGAAAATAACTAAGGGCTAAATTTTAAATAATATACATTGTCTGAAAATTAATTATGGTGAAGATAGGTTTTCTTATTTTATCCTATAATTTGTAATTTTGCTTGTTTTTTTTTAATGCATCTTATCCGTCAATAATTATTAAGAGCAGCTCAACCATTTTAATGTACCGTATTTTCTGGATTATAGAGCGCACCTTAGCATGAGCTACACCTACAAATGAAAAAAAAAACAGCTGGAAGCGTACATAGATAAGCCACGCCGGGCTATAAGCCGCTGGTATCTCCGCTGCTCTCGGTTTTTCACAAGGACACAGCAGAGGCATAGCCCTCAACTTAAAAGCTGCACCATATGAACTTCCTCATGTGGTTTCCATGATGAGGAGGTATGAGTTTGAAGACATTTCTTCGTCATGCCTGCTGCTAGCATGTGTTGTTTTCAGTTGTTGTTTTTTTCTTCTTTTTTTTTTATTTGGAGTCAAAATCAAACTGAAATGATAAATATCCTGTTGGATAGACGTATAAGTAGCAAACGTTGAACAAAAACTGAGAGACGAAAGCAATAAACAAATGCTCAATCTCTATTTCTCAACAGTTGGTAATGGAGTACTGTCTAGGCTCAGCTTCAGACTTGTTAGAAGGTGAGTTAAAGTCTATCACAACGTGGGAATGTTGTTCCCGCCAGTTTTTTTTTTTCCCCGTATTGCATCTCCAATGACGATTAATACCTTCCAGTTCACAAGAAACCCCTGCAAGAAGTTGAAATTGCTGCAATTACCCATGGTGCTCTTCACGGATTGGCTTATCTTCACTCCCACAACATGATCCACCGGTGCGTATTTGAGTATTTTTCAAGCAAATCTTTCTCTGCTCCATGTTCTACGGTTCCAGTGAAACGTCACTCGTTTCCTTCTGTATGTTTTTACAGTGACATCAAAGCAGGAAACATCTTGTTGACAGAACCGGGTCTGGTGAAACTAGCAGACTTTGGCTCGGCCTCCATTGCCTGTCCGGCCAATTCTTTTGTCGGGACTCCATATTGGTATGTGAACAGCCATGTATCAATGCATCTCGATAAATTAGGATACAAACAAGAAAGTCATTTCTTACAGTAGTTCAACAGAAACGTATAGCGGTTTGCAAGTATTCATACACCATGACCTTTTCCATGTTTTGTCACATTAAAACCTCAAATATGAATTAGATTTTATTGCAATTTTATGTGAAAGACAGAGTGGTATACAGTTGTGAAGTAGAAAGAAAATTATACAAGATTAAGAAAATTTTTTTTTTTTTCTTTTTACGAGCAAATACCTGAAAAGTGCGTATGTATGTAGCTATATTAGCCTCGGGCCTGGACTCCTTAAATATGGACTCTGACCTAGTAAATTTCTCCAATGCCTTTGCTTCTATTTTCTGTCTGTCAGTTTGTTTTCGTATTTGTGTTTGTTTTTACTCGTCCCGTCTTATCTTGGTGCATATGTTTTCTTCTCAGGATGGCCCCAGAGGTCATATTAGCCATGGATGAGGGTCAGTATGATGGAAAGGTGGACATCTGGTCTTTGGGAATAACCTGCATTGAATTAGGTACGTCCATATTGTCAAGATTGTTCCCCTCCCCTCAGTATTTTCACGTTTCTCCCAGTCAACATTACTTTAAGCCACTTAGGCTGCCTCCTTGCAACAACAAAAACCTCCACAAGCCTTTACTGGCACTGATGTGCCTTTGTTCATACGTAACTTGCCTGGGCTTTCAATGCATAGGCATGTAATTAATCTGCATTCCTTTTTCACCTTGTAAATGAAGGTTTCTCGCAGAGTGGGACGCACCAAGCATTCATCTCTATCTGCTTTGTGTGAGCTGTTGTGTTTCCTAATTGAGGGCAAACATGCTCCAAATACTTCATTGGCTCTGTTATGTGTTTAGACTGTACACGGCCAGACAAAAGAACCTTTAGAGAACGAAATCAACAAGTCAGCACTGCTCGAAGGCTAAGATTAGCTTTAAAAAACTAAAGTCATAAAAAGAATTATATTGCGACTTATTTTTTTACCTATTCAAATGTAAACTAAATGTGTAAAATTTGAGCTAAACACGTAAAGTTGTTAAAAGTTTGGATATTTTTTAAAACTGATAGACTTCTTGGTTTCTAGCTGAGAGGAAGCCTCCATTGTTCAACATGAATGCGATGAGTGCCTTATATCACATAGCACAGAACGACAGCCCCGTTCTGCAGTCGACTGAATGGTGAGTGAAAAGCCATGTGACTGAATGCTTCTGAAACTTTCGACGACGAACGACAAAATCTGTCATGCTTTCATGCTTTCTTCAGGACGGATTATTTTCGGAAATTTGTCGATTCATGTCTCCAGAAACTCCCTCAGGAAAGGCCAAACTCCGAGGAGCTCCTAAAGGTGGGCAATTAAAGATTTGACAATAGATTCTTCTTAACTTTCTTGTATTTTCTTTTTAAACAAGGTGCTTGCACATCCTTAAAAAATTTTGATGTAACTAAAATTAGGGACTTGAAAAGTCTTCAATTCATTGAGGAAATGTAAGTGGGCCTTAAATGCATTAATCACAAGTCTTGAATTTTGCTGTGGCAGGACTATGTAATCTCATATATTCTATGTAGTTTCCTTTTCTCAGAATTTTACTGTTGTGCAAAACATTTATGACTATCACTAACTAGCTAGCTTTACTTGCTGGTTGCAACCTAACTAGCAATGGGTAGATGTAAATTTATTACAAGTTGACTGGATGTTATCATGGATGTGTTGCCAACACATACAATTTATTTCTTTGATGTTTTCCTTTGTACATTTCTGTCGTGATATAGGTCTTACATTCCATTGATTAACGGTCTTAAAGTCTTAAATTTTAGTGGGTTGCACTTCCAGTAACCTTATTTAAACCATAAAAGTCCCAACATTAATTCTTAGTTTCTTTTTCGGCCCCCAGCATGCGTTTATCCAGCGTGAACGGCCAGAATCGGTCCTAATAGATCTGATAAATCGGACCAAGGATGCTGTGAGGGAACTAGACAACCTGCAGTACCGCAAGATGAAGAAGATCTTATTTCAGGAAGCTCACAATGGCTCCACGAATGAGGCGCAAGACGATGATGAGGTTTGCCCCTAGCTGGCCTGTTTATGTTTTAGCAGCATCCTCTATTGTTGTAGCCCTTTCATTGTTTCCTGCGCCGTATGTGTGTGTATAGGAGCCGGACCCCAGCGTGAGTGGGACGGGCACGGTGAACAGCGTCGGGAGCAACCAGTCCATACCCAGCATGTCCATCAGTGCCAGCTCCCAAAGCGGCTCCGTCAACAGCCTACCTGACGCAGGCGAGGACAAGAGCGAGCCGGACATGGACGGCGACGGCACGGTGATGTCCAACAGCTCGGTCATTAATCTCAAACCCGTAAGAGAATCAAGACCCAGAATCCTGAGTGTTCTCATCAAAACTGAGCTGTTGTGTCTCTGTTTTCTGGTTGCCGTGCGGTTTCTTCACTCTGGTTTTGTTGCTTTTCCTTCTGATCCAGGAACAAGAGACGCGCAAAGAAGAGTCAGAGCCTCATGGCAGAGGCACAACAGAGACACAAGCTGCACCCACTCAGACCCAGAGGACGAGACGAAACCGTGAAGACTTTGCGACGATACGTACAGCGTCAGCGGTAGAAACGCCTTCTGTCCTTACCGGGAGTTTGGGAATGAAACTATTTGAATTCATAAAGATGATGCAGGTGGAATTAGAGGCATTTCTACATAGAAACCTGATTCATATAAATGTATGGACATAAACATCATACTTTTGGTTCCCACAGATTATTTGATAGCATGGCCTATACACACACATACGGCGCAGGAAACAATGAAAGGGCTACAACATTAGGTTATGTTGCTACCATGTATGTTGTTTAGTGGATTCTATTACGTGTTGACACTTGCCTGTTAAAAGGAAAACTGCACCAATTTTGTCGTAAGAAATACTGGATCTAATTGTTTAAATTCTTGTGACTCAGCTGATGGTTATTCAGAAAGATTTCTGATTTTCCTGGGATATGTTGTCTTAACAAGCATGTGAATATGTTCTAAGTTCACATCTTTTTCTTATATCCAGTTTTTAAAAAACCTCCACGAAAGGCTTTTTTTTAATTACTCTTAATATAAAGAAAATGTGTCTCTTTGAGCTCACTGCGGAGTTTCTGAAAGGCGACAGCATGTCTGTGGCATGGCAGATTTTTTTTCTAGTTCAGCACATTATTGACAATATTTATGCAAATGTAATTCTTACAACTTGTTTCCATCAAGTTGATTTAAAAAAAAATAAATAAATCTTGCGTCTTGTGTTTGTCAGCTCACACGCCAGATGAAGGAGCACGAGCAGGAATCGGAGCTAAGAGAGCAGATCCTGGGCTACAAGCGAATGAGACGGCAGCACCAGAAGCAGCTGCTGGCTCTGGAGAACAAGCTGAAGACCGAGATGGACGAGCACCGGCTCCGTCTGGACAAGGAGCTGGAGACCCAGAGGAATAACTTCGCCCAAGAGCTGGAGAAGGTGGTCAAGAAACACCAAGCATCCATGGAGAAAGATGTGAGCTTCCAAAACACAAGCATGCACCAGCTCACAGCTGTGTTTAGCAATGCAGAACTTCTGAATATATTGATATTGCATTAGGGAAGCAATGGTTTCAAGGGTTGGTTTTTGAAGTTCCTTTTACCAATAGTAGAAAATGTCATCTTAGCATGAGCTTGTTGGAAAAATGCATAAATCCTCTAAACCACAGAAGGTTAATAAGTGAGTCAGATGTACACTCAGCACGACGTTTACATCAAACGGGAAAATATTGTCAATTGACAAAAACACACAAAAGTCAGTAATAGTCTGCTGTGTAAATGAAGTTGTTTTGAAGTGCTAAAGTTAGCTAAAACTGTACGTGTAAATTAACTATAACCAACTGTTTTGCTTCTTTATGCTTAGCAACAGCAAAGTTTACATGTAAGAAACAGACTTCGGACTGTCACTTCCAAACTTCAGATTCAGTTTAAACCACTGAAATTTGAATTTGCTTGACAACCAGCCACCACCTACAGCTAAATGTTTGTGTCTTTCCAGCACAACATTTGCAAATCAGTAGATAAGTGACGTTTTTAGATGTACAGTTTGGCTCTGTGCCTTGTTTTTTTTTACATTGTGAACCCAGTGCTTTAACATGTGTCCGCATGAATAGAGGTTATACTTCATTAAGAGTTTTTTGTTGTTGTTGTTAATTCACCTTCTATCTCGGTGTCACGGATGAAAACAAAAGTTCAAATCAATATCTGAATTCTCATTTTCTGTGGATTAAAATGTAGTCCAGTTTATGGTTTTATGGTGGCTGCTGTTTTGCATTGATCACACTGATAATGGTGGGTTTTTTGTTTTGTTTTGTTTTTTTCCACTAGGCAAAAACATTTAGCAACGATGAAAAGAAGTTCCAACATCACATCCAGAGTCAGCAGAAGAAAGAGCTGAACAGTTTCCTGGAATCCCAAAAACGAGAGTACAAGCTCCGCAAGGAGCAGCTGAAAGAGGTGTCAAACTTCATTGCATTTATTTTCATCCATATTTGTCTTTCAATGTAAAATATAAAACAAATTCGACTTTAGTATTAAGGTTAAATGTCTCTATTTTCCTCCAGGAGCTGAATGAAAACCAGTCAACGCCCAAGAAAGAAAAGCAAGAGTGGCTGTCCAAGCAGAAGGAGAACTTCCAGAACCTCCAAGCAGCGGAAGAGGCCAACCTGCAGCGCAGACAGAGGCAGTACCTGGACCTGGAGTGTCGCCGGTTCAAAAGAAGGATCCTGATGGCTCGCCACAAAATTGAACAGCAGCATCTGCGAGAGGTCAGCACTTCTCACTGTGACATTTATTGACCAAGGATGGAACCTGGTTCTTGTAGAGAATTGTTAATCTGCCTGCCTAACGATTCCGCTTGTCTGTTCCAATAACATGAAATGTACACGCCTCATATTTTGATTTAAAATGCATCCACAGAAGCGATTCAAAGTATGGAGTAAAATAACAGTCAATATCATTTTGGAAGAGAGGATTTCTGCCTTCCTGAAAGCAAATACAAAAACAAATGTGCAAAAAGTTGCATTTCATGTTAAAATGTTCATTTGACAAATGGATTCTTGTTATTTTTTTGAGCCAGTTTTTATTTAGTTTGAATCAAATGCAGCATGGTGCGTAGTTTATTTCCTAATTCAATGACAGTCAATAAGGAGTCTGTATCACAAAATTCTCATCAATTCCTGACAAAACAAAGTCTTTTCTTTGTTTTTGTTTTTTTAATTTTCACCTCAGGAAGTTCCTTTTGTGATTTTCTCTTATGTACTTGCGTTGGCAGGAATTAAACAAGCGTCAGACTCAAAAGGACTTGGAACATGCCATGCTTCTCCGTCACCACGAGTCCATGCAGGAGCTCCAGTTCCGCCAGCTCAACACCATCCAGAAGACCCGGGTCGAGCTGATCCGGCTACAGCACCAGACGGAGCTGACCAATCAGCAGGAGTACAACAAGAGGAGAGAGCGGGAGCTTAGACGAAAACACGGCATGGAGGTTCGTCAGCAGCCCAAGAGCCTCAAGGTTAGTCTCTGACCTGATGTAAAACTTGGTTCACTTTTTTGTGTTTAACATCAACTCCGGGCGGTTGAGGATACAGCTAACTAGTTGCTAGTCAACCCTTGCCTAGCGAGCAAGTTGTTTTTTTGGTTTTTTTACATTTATCATCTATTGTTCATTGTTGCCACTGGCTGACTTCTGTAGCCAGCCCTTACTATTTTATTTTATTCATTTCTGCCATGATACAGGTCTTAAATTTCATTGACAATGTTCTTAAAACACGTTTTAAACTCTTGCGTTTGCGTTGGTGACACCTGCAAAAACCTTTATATTAAAGATATTTGTCTCCTGATGCGATGAATGTCTACACACATTATTAATCGAATCCCTGTTTTTCTGTTTTCAAGTACAAAGAGCTGCAGATCAAAAAGCAGTTTCAAGACACGTGTAAGATCCAGACCCGGCAGTATAAAGCATTGAGGAACCACCTGTTGGAGACCACACCAAAGTCCGAGCACAAAGCTGTCCTCAAACGCCTAAAGCAGGAGCAGCATCGCAAACTTGCCATTTTAGCCGAGCAGTACGACCATTCCATCAGTGAAATGTTCTCAACACAGGCGGTGAGTCTTTCAGCGCCAGAAACGTACAAGCAAAGCCTGTTGACCCTCAACGCAGCATTGCATTTTTATCGTCTCGCTGTTTCAGGATGAGTAACATTGCGTTCTTCATTCCTTGTCGTTAGTTACGCCTGGATGTGACTCAGGAATCTCAATGCCAAGCATTACAGATCCAGCTGCAGCAGGAGCTGGAGCTTCTCAATGCCTACCAGAGTAAAATTAAGATGCAGACGGACGCGCAGCATGCCCGCGAGAAGAATGACCTGGAACAAAGGGTGTCACTCCGAAGAGCGCTACTGGAGCAAAAGGTTCAACATTTGTTCACATTCAGGAGTTTATTTCCTCGGTTTGTTACAACTTGTCATTTTAAGCTTATTTGCTTGGAATTATGTTTTTTATGAAAAGAAAAAAAAAAGACACAAGCTTGAAGCGGAGAAAAGTCAACACAAGGCAGCTGAAAACGAGCCAAACAAGATGACTGTTCATGTTAATTTGATATTTGGAAGCGTACTGAATGGAGCACTGCCGTGGCTAAAACTAGAACCAGACCACAAATTCTGAAACGGCAGAGAAAAACATCATTGCTCACAACTTCTCCTCCTGTCTGCTGATTGGCCAGGTTAAAATCCAACCAGATATTAAACTCAATGGGAGAAATCCCAGAAAAAACAGTAAGGGCTCAGAGATCATCCATTAAAAGAAAAATGTGAGTTGGCCGTAAATATTTTAATTCCACGTCTTAAATTTTGGGACGGCAGGACTGTTTAATCTCGTACATGTAGTTTGTGTTTTGTTTTTTCTCGTGGGTCTTGGCTCGACTCTGTCAAGCAAATGTTGCAGCTACTGCTAGCTCAGTGCTAATATACCGCCGCTATCCAGCTAGCTTTAAATGTATTGCCTGTTGGGTGGACGACATTTGTCTTTGCCATTGGCTCGTTTTTGTTTCCAACCCATACAATGCTGCATTCGTGCTGTGCTAAAAAACTCAATACTACTACTATGCAAAACATGCGATTTTCTTCTGTAAATTTCTGTCATGATACAGGTCTTAAAATTGATTAACGGTTTTAAAAAGTGCTTAATTTGCGTTGGTGCAGAAACCCTGTACATCTACTGGACTCCCATTTGTTTTTACCCTCGTACCTGTGAATAATGCTCCATCTTTTTTGGCTTCCCTGTAGATTGAGGAGGAAATGCAGTCGTTGCAAAACGAGCGCACCAAGCGCATCCAGAACCTGCTGGAGCGCCAAGCCCGGGAAGTCGAGGCCTTCGACTCGGAGAGCATGCGCCTGGGCTTCAACAACATGATGCTGGCGGACCTCTCCCCCGAAGCGCTCAGCAACAGTTTCCCCGGTGCGCCAGGCGGCTACAGCCAGCACCAGCAGCTGAGGCCCTCCTCGAGCGCTCAAGGGCCGCGCTGGAGCAGCCGCGGTTCCAGCCTGAGCTCCAATCACAGAGGCAGCCACCACCACTACCAACTCAGCTTAGGAGGGTCGCCTATGCAGCAAGGGTGGGCGGGGCACGGCTCGCCGGGCGGAGGAGGCGGAGGTGCGGGTCAGATGCAGTGGGGCCACCCACAAGGCGGGGCCCTGCAGGCAATGGGGGGGCGCGTGGAGCCCGGGATGAGCAGGAGCTCCAGTGTTACCTCGCAAATATCCAACGGGTCGCAGTTCTCCTACTCTTAGATTCGCCTTTCTGTCTGCCTTGGAGTCACTTTATATAGAAACCTGTCTGCCTGTGACGCTACCCCCCTCCCAAAACGTCTCCCCTTGTACAGATGTGGATGTGTGGTGGAGAAAATGTTGCTCAGGTCAAAAGGGGGGGGGCTCCATCTCCCCCAGCCCATCCTCAAAGGCAGTTTTATGAGCACACACAGATTCTGAAATGCATGTTACACAAGAGTATCAACAAGTAAGTTTGACTTGTTTTTCTTTTTTTCTGTTTTTTTACCGTTTCCTCTGTGGAGGAAATGTTTTTGTAAGTTTGTGCTATTCACAGCCATTGCTCTCATTTTGCACATAAAACACCACTCTAAAGCCTTTTGTTGGTTCAAACAATCGCATTAAATAGATTTTTGTAATTATTATCATTTTTATTTCAAATTTTTTTTAAACTTCCCATTTATGTTTAGCGATGCACTGGCCAATTTTTTTTTCTTTTCTTTTCTTTTTCTGTGGTACGGTGGAGAACCCAGTCAAACGACTGGGGATGCTTTGCTGTTGTCTGCCAGCCTGCTGTAATGGCCCTTCATGGTTTTTTTGTAATTAAGAAATTTTGCTGCGCCTTAATTCTCGAGGATCAACCAAAAAAAAAATCTAAATAAACTTCACAAATACAGAACCAAACAAATCTTAATCGCTTTAGACGGTTGCTTCTACTAACACTGCCTTTTTAAGCTTTCATTAGCTCAGTTTGTTTCAGTTAACTCGGGTTAAATATTTTTACATTTTTCATTTATCTCTGATCTCTATTGTAAATTGTATTTTAATCTTTTTTTTTTTTCCCATGCCTCCAAAAGGGTTTTGCATAAATTTCTATCTATGACTAAATATAGTAGAAACATTCAAAGCTACTTTTTGGCATTTTTTTTCTTTTTTTGTTGTTGTTTATGCTTGAGTGCAGAGAATGTCACTGTAACCCTTAAACGTATCAGCCTTCAAAAACAATCTTTAGTGCTAATCTTTATTTTTTATATATATACATACATATATATATAAAAATATATTAGTGCCTTTTTAATACTGCTGCCTTTTTCGAAGCACTTTATACAGCTCGACGAGTGTAAGATTAATATTTGACTTCTTTTCTCAAAGCTCCTGGTGAATGTTTCATTGGTACGCATGTAGAAAAGTCAGACTTACTGTGCTGTGATATTTTCTTTTTCCTCCTTTTGCATGTTGGAAAGCATTTTCTCAAATTTTACACAGCCTTTTCTCTTTTTTTTTTTTTTTTTTTTTTTGAGACTGCAGATGTGTGTTACTGCTTCTGTTTCTGTGTGACTTTGACTGAACAGAATATGTGAGGATGCAGCCTTTTTTCTTTTATTTTTTTTTTAGATGTGTACAGATGACAGTTTCCATGAAACCAACTGAACAAAAACTCGAACCTTTTATGTGCAGACAGCAAGTTACGCAAGACGACCGGCTCTGTGCTACTGAACGTAAACACTTATTGAAAATAACATTTTGAGGCCTAAATACACATTAAAAAAAAACACTAAAGGTCAGTAGAGATATGCATGATGTAGGTTGGTTTTTTTTTTTTGGTTGATGCAGAATCTGTCAAAAGCATCAATACCTCTTGAACTTCTTTTTTGTCACATTACAACCACTAAGTTGATTTCTTGGGGATTTTACATGATATTACAACTGATGACACGTAAAAATTCTTAACTGAGAGGTAAAATAAAAATGTTTTATTTTTTTCTGTCCAATTCTTTGTTAGATCTTTTAGAAAACAGCTGAAGGTCAGTCTGATTGACCTTGGACGGTATCTCAACATCAAGTATTTCTGCAGATTTAGTCAGACTTGGCTCAGGACTTTGACTAGTCCATTCTGACTATTGCAGCTTTGACCATAGGGTGTGGATTATTGCCCACTTTTATGTTTTTTGTTTTATTTTTACCCATTTCAACGCTAGAAATGGGTAAAAATAACCGCCCCCCCCCAACTCCCAAGTTGACTATTATACACTGCTCAAAAAAATAAAGGGAACACTCAAATAACACATCCTAGATCTGAATGAATGAAATAAATATGAAAATAATTTCCACCTGTTGTCTATTCCATTTGCACAACAGCAGCTGATATTGATTGTCAATCAGTGTTGCTTTCTAAGTGGACAGTTTGATTTCACAGAAGTTTGATTTACTTGGAGTTATATTGTGTTGATTGAGTGTTCCCTTTATTTTTTTTGAGCAGTATATATATTTTTTCATTTAATTTATTTCTGCATCACATCACGTTAATGTTGCCTCAACCAAAACCGTATATTCCGCTGTGGGGACTGTGTGATCATCTAGGTGATCATCAGTCGTACTTTTTCCAAACACACACAACGTTTGTGTTGAGGTCTTCAAAATTGAAGTTATGTTCTCATCCGACCAAATAAATAAAAACCTAATGAGATACTTTTAAAGTTTGTGGTTGTAGCATGACAAAACATTAGAAGGTTCAAGGGGTGTGAAGGCGTTTTCACTTTTTTTTTTTTTTCTAACAACGTACCTGCTTTTAACAGATTTTTTTGTTGTGTTTTAAGAGTAATTTGACAGATGGATAATTCAGGTCTCTCCTGTGACTCGCGGTAGAAAAAGAATTCTTATTTTTAGTGTCTATTGAAAGAGTTTTACTTTTCTGAACTTTATGTAGCAGTATCCACCGTCTTTCATGGTTTAATTTCTTTTTTCCGCCAAGTCTCGCCTAGTTATTTTGAAAGCACCGGACTTGATTCCTCATTCTTGAATTCAGTCCTCTCCTTTGAATGCCACTTTTGTAGTCGGTTAAACAACACTTGTGCAGATGATTTTCCGAACGCTACACCTTGGAGCGTTTTTTTTCCTCATTCCAGTCTAGTTCAGGGCTGTTATTAAACTTTCCTTTTTCATTTTCTGATGACACAAAAAGTGCTGGGATTTTTTTTTTCAGGTTGTACTTTAATTTCTGTATATATATTTCATCACAGAAAAGTATGCATAATATCAAGTAACGTAATATATGGCCTCAAAAACTGTTTTATGCCTACTGCTACTGTATCCAAGTAAGTTGTATTCAATTCCCTTGAATTTTTTTTTTTTATTTGGCTTAAAATAAAATTATAACGTACTAATAATTGGGAGTTTTTCTGCAACTCTAAAGCCAAAACCAAGTGTTTAAATGTTACGCCAACAAATGCCAAGTTTCACTTTCACATTGGACAGTTTGACTTCACTCTAAAATGTGGCTAAATCTTGATGTTACAGTTTTGCTTTTTTTTTTTTTTTTTTTGGTCCCCTCTCCCGATTTTATTTTCATCGTTTCATGGAACAGTTTCTACCATCCTACTGACTGAAAGCGAGTGGGATGCAGGATTGTGAATCGGCAACTGAAAAAAGATTCTTTCTCTACAGTCAAACACTGTGCCATACCGGAAGTCGCCAACACCGAACACCCGCATGTCTGTTCTCATCTCGAAGCTTTGACCCGTTAAGTAACTGTTGGTTAGAATCGAATCATAACGATCAAGTTGTTTTTTTTTTTTTTTTTTTTTTTTTTGTGGGTTTGAGGGTTTAAGTTTAATTTAAAAAAAAACAAAAGGCGGAGTTACAGACAAATGATGAAAAGATCGCATTTCTTTGAAGATGTCAGTATTCTTTGGCACATTACCACTACAACTTATAACCTGTATTAAAATGTATAGATGGTGGAGATTCTTATTGAATGTCAGATGCTATGAAGATACTACGTGAAAGATGGTAAAAGTACTAAAAGTGGATTTAAATTGTGTAAAAGAAAAAAAATTCTTTTTTTGAACAAAAATAGGATCCATTATTATATTGTTTGTATTGTATACCATTTTATTGTGTTGGCAGAGGGATATTGAACAGAATCAGCTGTAATAAAGTAATTTTAGTATAATTGTAGGCTTGTGCTTCCTTTTTTCTCCTGCAGCTGTAAAGAAGTACAGATTACAAAGCAGGTTCAGAATATTTTTAATCGAAACTTGTCAACTTACATTCTTCAACCACATTTTATTGTTCATATTTAAATACAATTTGTTTAAATATTGTTTTGACTGTCAACTGTCTGACTTTCAGAACAAACTTCCCCAGCTAGGTTAGTTTGTTCAGTCTTGGTCAAGTCAAAGTCTTGGTCAAGTCAAAGTCTGTGGTTCCACAGACATCTGTCACTTGTTCAAAACAACACAACAACACTTGTTCATCTGTTCTTTGAGAACAGATGAAAGGAAATTGTTCCAAAAGAAATCGCTCTCATCCCGAGAGCTACTTTAATCCGAATCCTTTCCAGGAAAGAAATGGCCACACTCTTTTCTTCATTCTTGTGGTCACTAAATATCCAAGCCCGAAACCAAGCGGGAAAACCAATGAAGCTGTAAAAAACAGAATTGTGATTATGTTAGGAGTTTGCTGGTGACAAGTTAATAATTATATGCAAATACTGCCATTGTATGCTAAGCTGTCAGTCAGTGAATGATGTCAAAGCAGTGAGAGTCATGACACACTGACTACTAAACAGCACAAATCTATATCCTCTTTAAGAAATTCTACTTATAAACGATTAACAGCTTATCAATTAAACATTTTACCTTCTTACTTCCCGCTGCACCGACGTCCTCCAATGGCTTCAGTTGACTGGAAAGTTCCAGAACTCCAGACCCAAGAAACGACGTGATTGGTCGATGATTCGATGGATGGATGGATGGATGGATGGATGGTTCGATGAATGGATGGATAGATAGATGGAGAGATGGTTCAATGGATGGATGGATAGATAGATGGAGAGATGGTTCGATGGATGGATGGATGATGGATGATTGGATGGATAATTGGATGATTGGATGGATGGATGGATGGTTGGATGGATGGATGGATGGATAATTGGATGGATGGATGATTGGATGGATGGATGGATGGATGGATGGATGGATGGATGGATGGATGGATGGATGGATGGATGGATGGATGGTTGAAAAATGACATCTCTTCTAAGAGTGTGGCATGAATATTGAACAGGGTAAATGCAGAGACAAGTGTTTACTGTATCTTATTGATCTCTTAATGGAACAACAGGCCAGCAGATGGAAAAATAACAGAACAACAAAGCTGCTATAAAAGCAAGGGTTCTGTAAGTGTGTCTTAAATGTTTGTGGGTGAAATCTGTTCATTTTTGGTTCATTGAAGTTACTTCTGTTGGATAGAATATTCCAGTTTTTTTTTTTTTTACTCAAGTAAGAGTAGAAGTAGCTCCTATGTAGTACTTTTAAAAATTAAAAGTAAATTATTCCTCAAGGTACATTTATTTCCTAAAACGTTGTACTTAAATAAGTACTTCACACCGAGAACACTTTTAAAATATCACTTACGTTATAAACAGGCATTTTGTTTTGGGCCCCTTTAATGAAAATGGGCTGACACAACCGGGGTCCATCGATTCAGCCTCGTCCAATGGAGTCCAGCCAGAATCGGAAGTGCGTCCTACGTAGGTGATGACGAGCATTGTAAACAACGGCGAGCGAGTTAGCTTGTAAAAGTTATGCAGCCTCAACAGTGTCTGACCTGAGTAAGTATTCAGACTTTGTGTTTTCCAAAATGAGCTTGTTAAGCCTGGGCTTCGTTTTCTGCTTTACAGTGCTGACATCCGGCGCACACAGGAAAATAATCCCGTTGTGCCAACGTCGCATATTGTTGTTTTTGATTTGCGTCACAAATAAGCCCTAACAGAGCGTGCTTTGACAGGGAAACCAAGCTGCTTCTCGCAGTAGGCGCGTTCAAAGCGCAGCTAGCTTTGTTGCGTAGCTACTTGGTGCTTGACTCTGGAGACGCGCTGGCTGTAGTTGGTATGCGGCTCAGTAAATTGTCCAGGTAGGAATAACTACACGCAAACCTCAGCTAAACGGTTGCAAACCCTCTTGACTGAGCTTCCCTGGCCAATGCCAAGTTCACAAACCCAGGAAGCGTCGTAATTTTAGTGACCTTGATTTAATTACTGATTAACATAATTTTATTGCACGAATTAAAAAAGAAAGAAAGAAAGAAAAGAATCCTTCCATTGCCTGCTCAGGCTTTTCTTTTCCTTTGAAACCACAACGATGCAACTGCTTTGTTTACCACATAATGTCCAAATAAAGGTTTTCACAGAAACATAAATGGTTCTGTGATGCGACATAACTTCTATACGTTTTGTCCCCCCCAAACATCAAATAACTCGATATGTGTAACCTTTTTAATTATTATGTCTTTTCGTCATTACTCTGCGTTGTGTGAATATGGACCAGGAGACAGGATGATACAAGATGAAGTTTATCTGGATGAAAACAGGATATAAAATAATCAGGGACCAGGTTCATCACCGGCAGTACAGCACCTCGCGCCCATCTCATGAACTGGCCAACTGCCGTATTTTATACATTAACATTAGACAGAATTACAAGGAAATAAAACAATAAATAAATGAAACAATATGTACCTGGATGAAACAGGATATAAAATAATCAGGGACCAGGTTCATCACCGGCAGTACAGCACCTTACGAGGAATAGTATTTTATGTTAGCAACAAACTAACAGAACATTCCACAGGACCGTTACAATGTTCCCAGTGAACCTACCTCGCGCCCATCTCTCATGAACTGGCAACGAGATATCTATGTTCACTATATTTAACGTTGCCAACCACCAGGAGGGGGTGCTGTTCACCCATTACATCTGAACCCAAACTTGGAAGTAAAGACAAGTGGAATTCTGTACAATATTTTAACTATGTTACACTCCCTCCTGCCGAATTCCACTTGCCCCATTACAACAAACAAAACTACACAACAATAGAAAAAAAAAACAAGAGAAAGAAGAAAAAAAAGTACAGTAACACTGGGCAAGGTCCAGGTACAAAAGCACAAAATCGACTAAGACCACTATTCAAATGCACAGGAAACCATTACACAACCACCGTTTCCAAAGTCGCTTGTGAGGTACAATCACATCAAATTCACAGTTACAAATATCCAATCACTTAGACTATCCCATGGGGATCAGTATGAGAAAAGGTTGGCCAAACCCTCCCTACATACATAGGAAAAATAATATGCCCATTTACATATTTTGTTAATATGCAACTGCAAATGCACCTCCCAAATAGCAAAACAGACATGACATATCAAAGTTGTTACAACACATCAAGGTCAAAATTGAAACAAACAGAACTGTAGTTTTACCATGAAGAACTCATCAAACTAATGCTGTTCTTTGGTGCATCATTTCAATTAGTCTAGTCACTGGCTTCAACAACCGCCCAGCTCTAGATCTACGGGTAGTCGCACTGTCAACTACTGCCACTGTAGCAGTACGAGTAACAGGTACATCAGTAAGAGTGTCAGGAATAGGATTCAGAGAGGTCTCTGGCAAGCCATTCGGACTGCTGTGCAACCGGGGTCTGCTGAACTGCTGCCCATCGAAACAGATCCATCAGAGGGTTGTAACTTATCAAGGATTGGCTGGGCTAATGGCAACACCCTGCCCTCTGATAGGGCATTAGTAGGTTCCACGGCTCCCTTCGGCACAGTGCCCTCCACCTGCTCGGCATTTTCTGCATCTGTCTTGCTGCTTGCTCTCAAAGGTAGGTCAGATACCCATGCTCTTGTTCTAAACTCTGCTGAGTCAGAAATGACATCACTGATTGGTGACCCCAACACTTAGGTCAAGTGAACTTGATGTTGGAGACAGAACAACCTCCTCCTGGTCATCCTGAGGTAAAGGCAGAAAGTTTATTGGCATTAGCAGGTTGCGGTGGACCACTTTTACGTGGCCTGTAGTGGGATTCTGGATCCTGAAGGTGTGGCTCTCATCATCCTTTCCAACCACCACATACACCGTGCTATCCCAGCGATCAGCAAGCTTCCTTTTTCCACGTTCTCCTTTGTTGGCCAGCAGCACTCTGTCGTTCACTTCCAATGGTACACCTCGAACTCTCCGGTTGTATAGCTCAGTGTGACGCTGGAGCTGTTTAGTCGCTGTTGACTGAGCTACAGCCATAGCCTCTCTCATGTCCCTTTGCAGAGACTCAACATAGCGGTCATAGTCCACCACCTCCGGATCACTGAGCACTGAGCCAAAGATGACGTCCACCGGAAGACGTGGCACCCTCCCAAACATGAGCAGGAATGGTGCATATCCTGTCGTCTCATGCACTGTGCAATTGTAGGCAAATGTCAGAGATTTTAGGGTCTGAGGCCAACGATGTTTAGCTCTTGGTGGCAGTGCTCGAATCATGTTGCCTAGAGTCCGGTTCATTCTCTCACATGAGCCATTCCCCATAGGGTGATAAGGCGTAGTGTGGGACTTTTGCACGCCCGCCACATTCAGCAACTCTGCAATCAGCAAACTCTCAAAAACTGGCCCCCTGATCAGAATGCAGTCGCTCGGGAAACCCATAGATGCAGAAATAGTTGTTCCATAGCTGGTGTGCGACTGCTTTAGCTGACTGATTGGGGCACAAGAACGCATGTGCCATCTTTGTGAAGTGGTCAGTAACTACGAGCACATCCAGTGAACGGTTTGAAGAATCCTCAGCAGTCCAGAAATCAATACTGACAAGTTCCAGAGGTTCAGAGGTCCTTATGTTTGTCAAAGGAGCTCTAGCTTCTGGCTCTAGTGACTTGCTGACAACACACCGTGTGCAGTGTTTTACATACTCGTTCACATCGTGCATTAGGTCAAGCCAATAAAACCTCTGTCTTGTGAGGTACAGAGTCCGTTGCTGACCCTGGTGACCAGCCTCATCATGAATGCCTTGTAACACCTTCTGATACAGTGAGCTGGGGACAACAAAAAGATAGGACTTGTTCTTCGTGACAGGGTTTTTAGCTACCCGGTACAGAACTCCATCTCTTATTACAAACTTTTCCCAGCCTTTCAAAAGCTTGAGGACTTCTGACGACTCTTTGACACGTTCCCTCCTGGAAGGTCTCCATTTTCTTTCTACAAAGAAGATCACCCTACTTAGAACCGGGTCATTTCTGCCTCCTGCAACACTTTAAGGGAGAGCACCTCCGAGTTGACCTGTGGGGTTGTCAGAACAGTCTGTGAGAACTGTGGCAGGAGAAGAGCATGAGGGCACACCACAGGACCATTTTCACTGCATCCCTGGAGTACAGCAGCAACCTCTAGTGATGATACTGCTCCTGTCTTAACAACTGCCACACCCTGACATATCTGTGGGTCACACTCAGATGCTGCAGGAGGGTTGGCTGACCAGCGAAACACCTCCTGGATTCCATTAGCACCAACCACTAAAGGCGAAGAATTCCAGTCTGTGGGCTGGATATTTAGATTGGGGGTAGCTTAGCGCTTTACTTGCAAACGCAATCGGTCTGGCTGTTGAACCACCAGCAGGCACTTGTGACAGGACTGCACCAAGTCCGTTAGTAGAAGCATCCACAGATAGGAGAAAGGGCTCATTGAAGTTTGGGTGGGCCAGCACCACACGATCTAGCAAAGACTGCTTCAGTTGATGGAAAGCCTGCTGACAATCTGCAGTCCAATCTTCAGCACGGAGTGTTTGCGGATTTGGCGGCGTTTTCTCCCACCTCCACGCGGACCTTTACAGCATGAGATCAGCTGAAACAATGGTTTGGCCATAGCAGAACACCCCTCAATGAACTGCTGGTAGTAGACTACCATGCCAAGGAAGGAGCGGATCTTCCTCTGTGAGGGAATATTCGTGCCAACCTCCATAAGGTCTGACTCAGTAATGGCGGTGATAGCAGTCACTTTATCAGGGTCAGATTGGATCCCATCAATGCTGATGAAATGACCGAGGAACTTCACTGACCTTCTCAGAAAGTGGCATTTCTTTGGGGCGAGCTTGAGGTTATGGTTCTGGAATCTCTGGAAGACCATGTGTAGACGCTCAAGCGCTAGCTCTTCTGTTGGAGCAAACACCAGGACATCATCCAGATAGCACAACAAGCTCATGAAGTTCTGGTCACCGAAGATGTTTAACATCATTCTCATGAATGTCGCTGGGCTATTACAGAGTCCCTGAGGCATCCGATTATACTTGTACAATCCAAATGGCGATGAAAAGGCAGTGTACTTTCGGTCAGCCTCATGCACTTCCACATTGTAATAGCCAGAGGTCAAATCCATAGTTGAGAAAAAGGCATTGCCCCCCAGGGCTGCTAGAGCATCAGCTGGATGAGGGAGTGGGTGTGCATCCTTGACAGTGCGTGCATTGATCCACCGGAAATCATTACAGATCCGTAAGTCACCAGACTTCTTCCACACGATCACCAAAGGAGATGCAAACTCACTGCTTGACTTTTGTATGATTTCACGCTCCTCCATCTCATCCAATGCTTCTCTCAATTTTTCATACTGGGTTGGTGGTATGCGCCGACATGGCAATCGGAATGGTTTTTCATCCATGACTCTGATGCGATGTAGAAAACCAGTGGCTTTACCACAATCCAGCTTGTCCCTTGAGAAGATCGACTGGTATTGGACAATGAGCTCAGCTAGTTTAGCCTTATATTCAGAGGCAACATCACATGAATCAATGTCCACATCTGACAGTCCCAGTCCTCTTAGCTTTGCCTGAGGAGTGTCAACTGTGCACGGTGTCACAAAGTGAGGATGATCTGGCAAGGTGGAGTCCTCTGAGACGAGGCTGTGTTTTGTACTGTTGTCCAATGGCACTTGTATTTGTTGATGGATGCCAAGTTGAGAACCAGCAAACATCTCCACTGAATCACAAGTACACACATCAGCCAACTTAGCATTACGTCTCAAGGTAACCGGCTTGTCTGATGGATTAATTACCTTTAATGGGAGCCACCCATCTGCTCTAAGAATCGACACCGACCTCCCCTCTAAGACTGTTCTTGGTTTACATCTTACTGTTGTTGGCTCCACCACAACAGTACATCCAGCCAACAGATTATTCACCTGTGGCAACTTGCCCCAAATCAGATGCTCTGTCATGGGTTCAAGAGTAACAGCTCGCTTGATTTTGACAGTTCCAACTGCATCATGGATGTTTTCATCGGCAGCTTCCACCTTTGCCAACAAACCTAGCAGTTTCTGCTCTGCCTCACTACTGTCACAGAGTGCTGTGGGGCCCTGGTCCTGGAGATCTTGCCTTTGCTTAAACCTGTTAATAATGTATCTCAACAGGTTACTGCCAACAATCAGTTATTCATTCTGATTTTCAACAATCAATGTCGGGACAATCACTTTGAAGTCATAAAGTCCCATCTCCAGATCGCACATGCCAGAAGGTAAGGTCCTGGAACCCCCACACCCAATCAACACAGTGGCTGTTGGCTCAAGAGTGGGGCTCCTTAAAACATCCTGATGTATCAGTTGAGGTATTACTTTAGAGCTCAGTATCACAGTGGTGTCAGTGCCTCTCATCGTTCGCTACTTCAGAAAGACCGGACTCTTTAAACCACCCACACCTGCTCCCTGATGACTCTCCTCTCCCTCATGAAACAACACATCCTGTCATAAAAATCAAAGCTTTTGTGTTTATTATTATTAAACTTATTATCGACCCACTATCCAGCAAAGCTCTGACTGTAACCACTCCTCCCAGTGTCACATCTTCATAGAACAAGTTGTCATGCTGTTTGAGTCTCTGAGTCTTTTGTAATATTAGTGTATATCCCATTTTCTCACTTCACATGCACTTTGACAAATAGACTCCATGTCATCTTCTACATTTAGAACAGGGGGATCACTTTTAGGCCAAACACTTGCCCCCACCACATGCAGGCCAGTCAGTTTTCCTGAGACTGCACCTCCGGCTTGTCGCTCCGAGGCTTTCTCACAACCCCTGGACACTCTGCTCGGGTGTGGTCAGGTGCAAAATAGCTGAAGCACAGGTGGTTGGACCTGCAGTGGTACTGAGTAGTGTGTCCGCCATCGCTGCACACAGCACAAGGTCCAGCAGGCCTTACTTTCGTCGGTTGGGCCCTCTGGGTGGGTACATTGATCCTACTTTGAAACGTGTGCTGTTGTGGTTGCTGCTCCAGAACACGTTCAAGCAGAGCGATGACCCGATCCAGGCGGTCCGGCAAGCTCTCAGCTGACATCCCAACAGGTGGTGGAACCACAGCAGCTGGAGGCAGTACTTCAGCACTGAGTGTCGCACTTTGCACAGAGGAGGTGACTTCCTGGTGTTGAGAATTCAGGAAACTTGACATTCTGTGTTTGGTTAGTCGCTTGCGATTTCTGCAGTGTTCAACAAGCTTCTCATGAATGTCAGCCACTGTCCAGTCTTTCAGCTGCCTACATTTGAATATGAGTGACAGTTCAGGATCAGGGCAGTTCTGGATAAACATAGTGGCTAGATCACAGGACAGAGAGTCAAAAACCTTATTTTGTCTCTTTAAAGAGTCCTCTGCCACATCCAAGGCTTTGTTGAGTCTCAGCCAATAGTCAAAGGGATGTTCATTTGGGTGGGGCACAGTAGCAAAAGTCCGCTAAGGGCAAACTAGAGGACACAGTATCACTGAAGTGCTGCTTCAGTATTTCAAAAATGGGCTCAGGTCCTGTAGTCACATTTAAAACTGGTTACTGCGTATGCCAACTTTAACTACTTCATGTGCCCTCCCGACCAGCTTAGACATCACCTCATCAGCCTGTTCAGCATGGGAGTGCCTTTCTTTCTCATGTAAGATAACATCAAAACCTCCCACTCTTGGACTGAACATGAATCATGATCCCCTTTAAAACTCACAGGTTCTTTCACATCAGGGCGAACAATGACATTTAACATGGCAGACTCGTTAGCTTTAGCTCCACCCACCCTGGACCCATTGTATTACTGAAACGGGTTTCAATGGATGATGCAATACTTTCACCAATAGAAACTCCAATTCGTGAAGCTATGTCATTCAAAAGTCTTCCATTACATCTGAACCCAAACTTGGAAGTAAAGACAAGTGGAATTCTGTACAATATTTTAACTATGTTACATATGCATCTTTTGCAAGACACTGTAGTGAGATGAAAACTTAAACGAAAGTCAATCTGTATTATGTTAGCTCAACAAGTTTCATTCTCAAATTTCATAGTCAATTCCTTATGTGTTTAAAATAAACCACTTTTCTTTAGCGTACAGATTAGGCCTGCAGCTCCTTATTATTTTAGTAATTGATTAATCTATCCATTACTGTGATGATTGATTGTATTGAAACATGGTAGTTTCTATATATCTTTCATTTAACCACTTAAACCTTTTGTACACAATGTTAGAAATGCATTAAAAGATGCTTAAAGTGAAATAACATAACATTTATTTAGAAAATCTGAATCCAGTGAAGCTAAAACTTGGCCACATGAAGAGTTTTGTTTAACGACAAAGGTTTGTATCTTTATTTGGAATATGTATATTTATACAATTTTTTTTCAACTTTGGCTTAATTTCAGCTCTGAATTTTTTTTTTCCAGCAAATGGCCATTTTTTTGCTAATTTAGTTGAGGATTATTATAATAATCAATTGATCACTATTGAGCCAATTAATCGTTTCAGTCCTGGTACACCGACTTGTATCGTTAACTTGTTGGACCTAACAGCCGATTGTTTGGCGCTAATAATCAAGTCACACACTGTGGCTGTTCTTCCTTTTAAAATATAAAAAGCTAAAAATAAGCTCAATGTTTCTTTTGGGATTTCAAAGTCATATGACACTGCTGCTCTCTGTTTTCATAGTTGGAACGAGGACAATGTTGTATTGTGCCTATTTTTGTTGTCCGATAGCGCAAATCTGAGAAAGTCCTCTTTTAACCTGTAGAAGTTTCTAGTGGTGTTCTGCATTCTGCATCCAAGTTGTTGGTTTCGTTTTACCGAAGGGTGCCACACGTTAATGTGTGTGACTGCTGTTCTTACAGAGCTCCACGATGCTGTGTGAAATCCTCCTGTCGTCACTATGGTTCCTGTTTGTGATCTTCTGGGCCGAGACAATAAGCGTGTGGCTGTTTTTATTCATGTTTTACCAGGATCAGGCCTTTTACCACTGGGGAGATAGGTAAGAGTTCTCCTTCCTGTCCTTTTTGATACCTGTAAACTTGAAAATGTTACTTGGAAAATCTAACTCTGACTTAAATCTATGAATCAGTGACACATCTGCGATACATTTTCTCAAACATGCCCTTGATTTTCACAGGTTATTTGCAGACGATCCCGGGCAGATGATTTACATGTTGAGCAGGTCGAATGTCTTGATGCTCAATCATTGAATTTATGGCATTTTATGTGTAAGAATATTACTAATTTGCAAGTTTTATATTATTTTATTGTGTCTGCAGAGTTGAGAACACAGCAGAGACCGAGCCACAGACCTGAAATGGAAATATGTCAAGAACTTTAAAGAAGACAGTGTTGCTCTCATGTTACTGAAGAGCCAATGAAAAAAAAAGCCAGTTTCTCTTTGCTTCAAATGTACTCTTATCAGTTATCTGGGCAGCAGAACAATATAAAATATGCAAATCTGATTCTCACATGAGCTCAATGCAGCTTTGTTTTACTTTTTTTTTTCCTTCACTCTAAACTCCATTTTGCACTTGCACTGAGACCATTTCTGTCTTTTGCCTTCTCTATGCAATCATTGTTTGCTAGTTGCACTCATATTTGTGTTTTTGTGTAGTAAATTGCAGCCAGTCTGATGTTTTAAGGCCTTTCATGATTTGGCCTACAACTTGTAAGCTTATCAAAGCAGAGTAATGAGAGTTTCTATTTTGAATCAATGTTTGTAGTATTATCCTGAGTTTCAACAGAAAAGCAGTGGAAATGAACATATTGTTGTTGTTTTTTTAAACCCGATGGTTCACAAATTATATTTCTCATGTGTCTTGTTTATGCATGTGTGCTTTATGGCATGTTAATTTTGTTCTGTTGTCCACTTTCAGCTGATCAACTGAAATTTCATGCTGACATCAGCGATGACTTGTGTGTAAAACAGAAACACTTTTTTTTTCTTAAATCAAAATGTGTATCACATTTCCTCCTCTCCCCGACTGATGTGTAGCAGCATGTTTTAGTGTCTTTTTGTAACTACAACAAATATTATTTTGTTATGTATATTGAGTTATTAAATAAAACTACGTTCGAGTTTGACTGACGCGTTCCCGTTTTATGCCACTCCGAGACAGCAGGGGTCGCTCTCGATAAAGGGAGCCCTTTTCTGTCTGCGGAGGTTTTATCACCGGTTCCTCCTCTACATCCTGTTTTGTCGTGAGGAGCTAAAATATGCGTCGTTTGCTGCTTTGTTAGCAGCAACGCTTACACGTTGTAGGTTGTGCGAAGTCGCGTCGTGTGGATTTCGGTCTCATCTCCATAAGCAAGCAGCTTCGGTTTGAGTTGCGAGGGGGAGGTCTCGTCGCAAACATGGCTCCCACGATCCAAACTCAAGCTCAACGGGAAGACGGCCACAGGTACGACACCGCAGCAACGCTTTTAACGCCAGCGAGCGGCGTCGACTCCTTTAATGTCCAGCGCGAGACATTAACAGTTACTTAACGTGACCCAACAATGCAGATTACCTCCAATAACTTCGCAGAGATTGTTAGTTGAGGCGGTGGAGTTCAGTGTAAAGGAAATTTAAACGTTTCAAATGGCGCAGAACAAACTGGTTGACCGTGGTTAAGTTGAAGGGGCGCTGCGGAAGACGTATAAATATGAAAGATGTATTTATTTAATGAACAGTTCTCTTGTTAAATAGGTTAGAGGGTTTAAAGTGCGACATAAAGTCACCTGTTACTGGAAGCCTTGGCGTTTAATCGATAACTAAAATAATTGCTAGTTGCAGCTCTTATCTGAACGTTTTTCTGTTTGTTGTTTTTCTTGTAGCAGGCCCTCTTCACACAGAACAGTGCCAGAACGGTAAGCACATTTATTGTTTTGTGATGATTTAATGCAAAATCATGTCTGTCCAGCGGAGGTCAGTTGTAAATGTTGTTTACTGTGCATCTGCTGCAGGTCAGGGATTGTTTGCAGAGTAAAGTACTGCAACAGCCTGCCCGACATCCCGTTTGATCCCAAATTCATCACCTACCCGTTCGATCAGCACAGGTGAGTTCATGTGCCCACTTATCTGCCTTCTGTTGAATCCAACCTCTTCCAGAGCAACACAGTTGTGTGTCTTTTGTCCAGGTTTGTCCAGTACAAAGCCACTTCTCTTGAGAAGCAGCATAAACATGAGCTCCTCACTGAACCGGATCTCGGGGTCACCATTGACCTCATCAATCCAGACACCTACCGCATCGATCCTAACAGTAAGTTTAGATCAGTGCACAGTAAAAATATGTTTGTTTGGTTGATTTTTTTGTTTTTCAACTCGCAACTGAAACACTGGATACATTAATCATACATGTAAAAATAAGGAAATATTTTACATTTTTCAGTTCTTTTGGACTCTGCTGATGAAAAACTCTTGGAAGAAGACATCCAGGCTCCATCCAGTTCCAAAAGGTAAGACTTATTAAATAAGCAGCACAATGTTTTATCTTCTTTTTGTGTCTTTTTTTTTTTTTAATAAAAAACATGCCATTATTTTATTTTTTTTACTTTTAAGGTCACAACAACATGCCAAAGTGGTACCATGGATGAGAAAAACAGAATATATTTCCACAGAGTTTAACAGATACGGCGTTTCTAACGAGAAAGTGGAAGTCAAGTAAGTTGGTGTCTCCCGACTCTCAATTTGAGTGCCTCTGTGTTTTTGGCTGGTTGTGTTTAAATCGGACCTTCTGTTGTGTTCAGGATCGGCGTATCTGTTAAGCAACAGTTTACTGAAGAAGAGATCTACAAGGACCGGGACAGCCAGATTTCTGCCATTGAGAAGACGTTCGAGGATGCACAGAAATCGGTGAGTGGGCGTATTCCGTTGCAAAAATGTGATGGGTGCACAACTCAGATCCTGAATGAAGTATGAGTACAAATACGATAATTTCTTTCAGTGCTTTACAAAAACTAAAATATTGGTACAATAGTACACTACTAAATTGTACTGAATTATAATGTAGTACAATTTAGTCCAAATATCAGAAAAGGGAATAGGCTGAAGGAAAAACTTAGCGATGCCTGTTGTGTTCAAAATTCATTAATCACACAGAAACTCTGTCATGCAGAAAAATATGTCAGCAATCCATAAAAATGTCGCCCACCTTACATTCATTTGACTTTTAATTGTCCTGAAGTCTACATTTGTTAGCTTAATTTGTCTCTCTATCTTTTTGCTTGTTTTGAGCTCCTCCAGTTTTCCTGCAGAGATGATCTTTGTTGTAAATTGTTCTCCCCTTCCTTTCTCTACTTTTCCATTAAATGGCTTCACATGTAATTCACCTATTTCCATTTTAAAATGCTTTTGTGCATTGTCACAAAATCAATCAGTTTTGTTGAGTTATTTTTGTTATGCTTAATGATGCTATTCCAAATATAAAAAGTGAGGGTGTGTGTACACGTTTGTAAGAGTTTCTTTGTTTCTCATTGTTTGCAGATCACGCAGCATTACAGTAAACCCAGAGTCACTCCTGTGGAGGTCTTGCCTGTGTTCCCTGACTTTAAGGTGGGCTTACTCCTCGATAAAGGATTTCAAACCTCTTTTATTTGTGTAAATGTTATTTTACGGTTTAAGTAATGGGTAGAGAAGACTAAATGTGGGGAAATAAACATGTTTGAATAATAATTTCTATTATTATTCCTGAAATCCAATATCAACAAAAGGAAAATTAATTTTCAAGGTAAAGGAAAAATAATTTTGAACATTTTGTCTTTCAGATGTGGATCAACCCATGTGCTCAGGTCATCTTTGACTCTGATCCTGCACCTAAAGACATATCAGGGCCAGCTGGTGTGGAAATGATGTCTCAGGCTATGATCAGGTATACACTTTTGTGTGTGTGTTTTTGACCTTAAATGCTTACCATCAGTACCACACGTTTTACTTGAATGTGTGTTTATTACAGAGGAATGATGGACGAGGAGGGAAATCAGTTTGTGGCCTACTTCTTGCCCAACGAGGAAACGCTTCGCAAGCGGAAGAGAGACTTCGAAGAGGGAGTGGATTACATGGCTGAGGACCTGTAAGCAAAAATCTTGGATGAATATGGAGCTTATATCTTTATAAGTCAGGGGCAGTAAAAAAAACATCTTTTGCTTTCAGGTACGATTACAAGATCGCAAGGGAATACAACTGGAACGTCAAGAACAAAGCCAGCAAAGGTTATGAGGAGAATTACTTCTTCATCTTCAGAGATGGCGACGGGGTTTACTACAACGAGCTGGAGACAAGGTAAATACTCAAACTATTATGCATTATTTTCAAAAAGAGGATGATGGTTTGCTTGATTCCTTATTAAAAAAAACCAAAACTTGATTTGTAGGGTACGCCTGAGTAAGAGGAGAGCCAAGGCTGGAGCACAGTCCACTACAAACGCTGTGCTGGTGTGTAAGCACAGAGATATGAATGAGAAGGAACTGGAGGCACAGGTGAGTCTCCTGCTCTGTTTATAGATATATGAATGTCGGGGCATATAAACTGAACATGGGAGCCAATTTACTGCACAATAGTTGCGTGATAAAACTCAGTCTGTTGTATTTGACCCTGTGGATCACAATAATCAAGTCGGTTTTATGTCTAAAGTCAGGACATATTTATTTAGGGTGAAAAGGGGTTGGGGAAGCATAAGGCAGGCAGGTAGAGTTAAAACTTTAAGGAGAAATGTTATCTGTGAACAGTAGTTTAGAGACCTAACTGACCAGCATTCTACGGGGCAATTTAAAAGCTCTGTGTGAGCTGTGGAGAGTAAAAATGCCAAATTACAATAAATACATAACTTAGAAAATAGTTATTTAATAGTAATTAATATATTAAAACTGCAAATAATTACAGAAACAATTTCGTCAACATAAGTTTAATTATATTTGTTCGCAAGAGAGCGATAGCCGGTGTTGACTAGTAGGCAGGGCTAACGTTGATCCTGTCTGTAGTCAATGTGAGCTTCAGCACTGATAGAGGAAGTGCTGTCAGTTCAAGCAGATTTAATCTACAATGCCATCTGCTGCTTAAAATAGGAACTGTCTTGCCCCTCTTCAATTTCATTTTTAAATGATTATTTATCTGATCTTTTTTTTTTTAGAGGGTTTTGTTAATGCTTTGAAAAAAATTATGAAAGTTTTAACTATTTTCTAGTGTTTTACAGCTTAAACCTACTAGAAACCTACTGGCTTTATCAGTGAATTATTTGGATTATTTTTAGTGTTTGACAACTCATTGATGATTTTGTTGATATTGACTTTCAGGAAGCACGTAAAGCTCAGCTGGAGAACCATGAGCCCGAAGATGAGGAAGAAGACATGGACATGGACAAAGACATGCAAGATTCTGGTTAGTTTCTTAGAAACGAACTTTCTCTTACACATTCTGGATTTTTAAAGACATTTTAATTTGCACTTGAGTAAAAAAATAAAAAGTGAAATAAAACTTCCAAATTGTGTCTCCAGGCGACGAGAAAGAAAAGGGCAGCGGCAGCGAGGCAGAGAACTCCGGCAGCGAATCCGAGAGGGAAGAGGAAGACCAGGAGCAGAGCGGCGAAGACGACGAAGAGGACGAGGACCGGGTTAAGAGGCGGAGGAAGGTCAGCGGCAGCGGGAGCGAGAGCGGCGAGGAGAGGACCCGGGAGTTGCGAGACGAGGTGGAGATCTTCGGCAGCGACGACGACAGCGATGACAACGAGCCCAAGAACTCGGCAAGGAGCAGCGGCGAGGAGGGCAGCGGCAGCGAGGATGAGGCAGAGCACAGGCGAAGCCGCAGCGCCTCCCCAGCACACAGCGACCACAGCAGCGAGCGCTCAGAGACCCACGCTCCGAGCGGAAGTGAGAGGGGATCGGACTCCTCTGAGGCCAGCGACAGCGAATAAGACCCTCAGTCTGCTTGAGCTTCACGTTCAACTCCAAAACTTGACCTTCTCACCCTGCCGGCGAGCCCAAAGCGTCGTCGACGTCCATAGCTACTTGATGCACTCTTTGCATTTGAACTCAATCCGTCTCCTTTTAGTCTAGATTTTATTTGTAGATTTAGATCGCATAGTAGTAGCTGGATTTTGTTGTCGCCACTGATCTCTTCAGGATTGTGTGTAAGATCATGTAAAAATTAACTTTGTTCTCTTCATGTATAACTTACTATACCGATACCGCTTTTGAAATGGATAATAAATCACTGGTTACATTTTGGTCATAAAGTTGGTTTGTTTTCAGTTCTTTGAGCTGCACGGTCAGCTCAGATGCAACATTTTATGAGATTATCCATAACTGAAATTGAATAATTTATTCAAGTCAAACAAGTTTATTTGTATAGCACATTCCAGCAACACAGAAACATAAAAAAACATCTTACATAAACACATTGGTTATAAAAACCAATAATAGACATTACATTTTGTTAAGTGCCATCATCAATACACATCATGTTGGTCAATGATTTATTCATTATAGTTCAAACTCAGTGTTTCGGCTGTTATGCAGTTTTCTGGAAGCTTGTTCCAGATTTGAGGTTCATAGAAGCTGAATGCTGCTTTGCTGTGTTCGGTTCTGGTCCTGGGGATGCAGAATAGGCCAGAACCAGTTCTGTTCATTTACGTAGTTCCAATTCTCAACAAATGTCATTGCAAAGCATCTTTACAAAATGAAACCAATAATGTACACTTACCAAACATCTCAGTCTTAAATAAGCTTATATTTTGTTTGTTCTTTCTTTGCTTCTTGCTTTAACTTTTTTTTTTTTTAATTTTATTTTAGAGGAATGCTTCAGATTATTTTCATTCGTTTTATGTGTTGCAGTTCTGATCGGGTCATTTCTAAACATTATTGCATAACACCAATTATGTAAAAATTGGTGATATATATATATATATAACATTTCACATACATTTTTAGAGTCATATAAAGGTATGAATACATTTAACATGGTTTGGCTTGAAATCATGGCTATAACGTATGAAGAATAACTGTTTGATGTTTAGCTTACACTTACAAAATTGAAAAACATCAACTTGAGTGGATACATGTATATATAACCAACCCGCTTAAATTTGAAGGTAAATTCACTTTATGACTCAATCATTTTCATGGAAACTCACAGAAATCTTGTTACAATATGAAGAAAAGACTTGGAAACCAAAACTCTGCTGCTGTAAGTGAACATTTTAATGTCACAACACACAAAACAGGAAGCCAAATTCAGGATATCGCCCAGGGAATGAGAAGCTGGCTTGAAAGTTGCAGAAGAAGCAGTTTCAGCGAAAAAACGCCAGCTGGTTCTTGAGCCATTCCTCCGTCAGGTCGTCGGCATTCCTGGTTTCAAAGATCTTCCAGAGCAAAAGAGATGCTGTTAGTTAATCAAACAAACAAAAAAAATCCAAATAATGGAAAGAACAACAGCGTTTTAAATGTTCACTTAGCATAACACGAAGTCCTGGCTAATTTCTGTCAATGAATGTTGTTTCAATGTCAGCCGTTTCAATCAGAAACAGCTCAGAACCAGTAGCCGACGGTTACCTTTGTGAGTTCTGCGATTTGGACCAGTCGGTTCTTGCTGCCTGCATACATCATCTGCTGCTCTGGCTTACACCCTGTCATAAAATGCGGGGTCAAATGAGCATGCGGAGAGAAAACAAAGTAATTTGCTGCCTTGCAGATTTTATTATGTTTTTGTAACATTTATACGTTTCACATCACCAAGCAAATTTGAATATCCGATGATGCATTTTGTGTTTTTCTCCCATTGAATTTTCTTGCCCTTTACTCAATAGCTACCATGTTTTCTAAAAACAAATCTTATAACAATAGTGTTAGTGATAGTCACAATTCAGCAATGCAAGTAATATTTCCACAGGAATTCGTAAACCTGGGTTGGCCAAACTTTTTTGTCACATGGGCTGAAACTGCTGAGTCAAAAGCACCCACGAGCCACGAAGAGCAAAAACCAAACAAAAAACAAAGATCAGGCAAATAAAGTTGTCCCTTTTTTTTTTTTGTAGTATCAAACTTTTTAAAAAATGTTTTCCTTTGGACATCCCTGGCATGAAAAAATTCAAAAACCTTATGATTCAGGAAGCTGTAATTACTTACCCATTGGGCTTGAGAAAATGAAACAGAGGGGATAAGACACTCTCCCGTCCGCATGTGTGTATTTGTAGCTGTAGACAATGTATGTGGGCTGTTGTCAAGGAGAATCCTCCATCTTTTTAAAACCGTGAAAAACCTTTCAGTTTGAATGGGGAAAACTTTTTCTAACAGTGAGAATGGTCCAGACCCGAACCACAAAGTGAACCTCCGCGATGGAGCGAGTGCCTGCTATCGTGACCTGTGAGAGTTTTGGAAACAACTGGGGGAAAAGTCAATTAATTTCTGTCTCTTTTTGTTGATCATCGCCGTTTCTCTCTACGGAGCGGGTAAATACTGTCGACTCTGTTAGGATATCTGGGTTGGCGCTCGGGAAGCTCGTTTCTCAGGTCGTCCAGTGAGATATCCTGGAAGACAGCGAAGGATGTAAGTTATTAATATAATATAATGTAAATAAATGCAAATGCAGAAAGGTGTATCACTTTTTATTCGGATGTTATTCAAAAAGGCCTGGTCGAAAATCGAAATAACGACAATCAAGCCCTTCTACTAATCCCGAGCAGATTTTTTTAAATGTTTTTTGACTGGTATTTTGTTTATTTATTTATTTTATGCTGATCTCCAATTCTTTGAAGGCCTCTGTGGCGCCACCTTAATTCAGGACAGAAAATTTGCTCGATGGCTCCAAAATAATATCACTTCCCTTCATGAGATGGCTAAACTGTGAATAAATTTGTTAACTTACCTCATACTCCTCCTCAAGGACAACAAGCTGTTTCGCCATATCTATTTTAACTGAAATAAAAAAAGTAAAAAAACTTCTTTATTACTGCCGAAGAACTAAAGTATCGATTGCATTACATTTGGGGGGGGAGTGAATATTTTTCACCAGGATACAGTTCTTGCAGTACTTACTGAGTATGGCCGCATTGTTGGTTTCTTTTCGAAATCTGAACTTTTTCAGCTTTTCTCTCAGACTTTCTTCCACCTCGCACACGACAAGAGAGCTTGACTGGGAACAGGTTTCAAGAATATATCTGTCAAATACAGTACTCGAACTATGACCTGATCAAAATGACGCCAGACAAGGGCCTCACATAAATGAGTTCAAATTTCATAACAAGTTTGATCGTTCTGACATGCTAAGAGCAGGAAGTGTCATTCTGCACGAGCGAGAATCTAGTTTCCTGTTTGAACATGAGAGGCGGATGGTCGACTGTTGCATTGGTGCTAAAATAAAATTAATGTGTCTCGGTTTTCCATTCTTATGCGTAAGATTGCATGAAGTCCGGTGAAATTAAACTGAATATCTAAACTCTGAAAGCCATTGTATTGACTGCACCTACCATCTTGAAAGGATCCTGTCCTGTGTGACACTGCCTTGCTGAAACTGCTTGCAACAAACAGCTTCTGTCAGATTGTCAGCAGGTCCTCCTTCTGTTGACGAGGGGAGGGCAGACAGGACTCTTTCCTCTTTTTACTGACGTAACATCAGTCTTCATATTGCACAAGCACAGCTGCAAAAATGCTGTTCTTTATCGCTGAACACAGAAAGAAACCAGATTATTTTCAGGATTACCAGGGCTCTTGTCTTGCATGTCATTCCCACCTGCTTGCTTTCACTTCCAAATTTTGCAGAGATGTATGTGACTCTGGTAAATGTGGAAATGTGTGTGTTCTGAATGAATCGGCCAGCCTGAAGCACGCACACACACACACACACACACACACACACACACACACACACACACACACACACACATATATATATATATTATATGAAGTTTAAAAAATATTTAATATTTTATTGTATTTGAAACTGGAACTAGTTTGTCCTTTTCCACATATGTCACACTCTATTAGTTTAATAATTTTTACATGAAAAATATCATTATTGAACATTTTGTCTTCTGGTTGAAGTTATGTTATTCATTCATATTAACTTTGTGATTTTGTAACCTAATATGTATGATTACATTTTAAAACATGAAATTATACCTTGTTGCTGTGTTACTCTTACTACTTTTTTTATATTTCTTTTTTGATAACCTACAAACTATTCACCCGTCAATGGAAGCTCTGAAAGGTCTGGAACTATGGCAAGCCGTTTTAACATAAATTCGGTTTTGCCTGCCGTTTTAACATAAATTCGGTTTTGCCTGACTATCCGTAATTACGTTCCAGATATCTCAAATTGTTTTATGACTTGACGTTTTAGCAATTTAAGATATGTCCAATTACATTCTGACTAGTCAAAATGACGTCAGATTTACCATTGATTTGTATGGGGACTTCAATTCAAGATATCTACAATGAATTACTGATTATGTGAAATACACATTTCAGATATCTACAATTAAATTATGACTAGTCAAAATTATAATTCAAGATATCTCTAATTAGTCCATAATTCAAGATATCTTAAATGTATTTTTGGATAGAAGAAATGTAGTTTTGACTAGTGGAAATTAAATTATAGATATCTTAAAAGCAAATAATGACTAGACAAAACTAAATTAGAGATATCTAGAATTATAATTTTGACTAGTCAAAATTCATTTTACGATATCTCTAAATGAATTAGAGATATCTTGAATTACTCAACTTTTCTATTTAAGATATCTTAAATCAACATCCTGACGAGTCAAAATGACATTACTGATATCTTGAATTGGCATTCTGTCTAGTCAAAGCGTCACTGATTTACGTGGCAATTTGAAAGTTTAATAAAACAATGAAAAATAGAAAAAACGAAAAAAGATGTTTAAAAATGCACAACTTTCATGTTGAAAATGGAATTGACAAAGCAGTTTTAGCTTTTCAAAGTTGTTTTTAAGTGCATTCAGTTTGTCAGAAATGAATAAACAGGACATTTTTTGCAGACCTCATTAGCAGTCTTATAGTTTATAAAGTCCAACATTGCCGAGCTCTTTCTAATTTGTGGCATTCATGGACAATTTTGTGCAGGAAACATAAAAGGCAACAGTTTGGTCGGCACAAAGGGGCTTCAACGCCATTCTTAATTCGGATATCTGAAATTGTACTTTTGACTAGTGATAATTACGTTCAAGATATCTCAAATCGTAATTCCGGATACGTGTCTCGTCAAATTACAAATCCAGAGACGTGATTTGAGATATCTTGAAAGAAATTTTGACTAATCAAAATGTAATTGAAGATATCTTGAATTATTATTCTTACTAGTCAGAATGTAAATGCAGATATCTTAAATTACCATTCCGGATAGTCAAAATGTAGTTTTGTCTAGTCAAAATGCATTTTCAGATATCTGGAACGTAATTACGGATAGTGAGACGAAACCGAATTTATGTTAAAACGGCTTGCCATACTGGAACAGTGGGCGGAAAACCATCTTACGCAGGTGAAAACGTGATGACACTGTGCCCACGTCTTACGTCAACTCAAAATCGAAGAGGATTTCTCCAGGCGTACACTCCTTATTTTCTGTATCCCAACTAGCATTTTTGTACATACGCTTATTCAAAAATGTTGTGTTCAAAACAACAGTTTGTCGTCACCGCCAATGGCAATTCTTAAGGGTTATCATGCGTGGGGATGAACGTAAGTGTTCCTGCCAAGTAAGCTAACGTAACTGCAGCCGTTAGCTGAACTATCCCTACTCTTCTGTCGAGCTAGCTGTGGATTAGCACTTTAGCCTAGCTCGCTAACCAGGCACATCTGAGAAAGGTAAACAAATTTTCAAATTCCATGTATTGTAAGTAACAGCTTGTGGATACTTGTGTTGATATTTTACCATCACCTTATCTCAAGAGGAGTTACCTTTGGTTGGACCGTTTTCGTCGCAAATTCTTTAAGTACCAACGGAGAAAAGGTGTAGCAGCAGCGTCAACGCAAAACAATACAAATCCCGAATCCCTCACCAGAGACTAGGCCGACCGGGCTAACTCCAGTTTACTGCTACTAAATATGCTCGTCTGCTTGAGGACAAGTTTTGCTTTAGTTGTCACTGTTAAAATCACAATTCACACATCCACGACTTCCAACCTAGAGTCGACATATGATACAGAGCTGAGTTTTTATTTTCTAATGCTAAGTGAGATACCATTTTGGCCGTGATGGGAGTTAGCTCTTTTGACATGTATTGAAATCTCACATTCCCTTCGCTGTTTAGATGTGCAGAACAATTTTCTCTTGAGCAGACCATTTGTATTATAATTATATCACAGACAGACAAACGGTGCTTCTCGTTTTATAACAGTATAGTTTGGAGTAATGCTTTTTTTTCTTTCGCTGTTAACTAATACAGACTATAATCGCCCAAGGAATAGTTGATTTATTGGTTTTCTTTTACAGACGTTTCTTATTCTTGTTGGAACACGTGTTTATTCAGACATACGTGGGAAGCAACTTTTTGAATACTGACCTCTTGAACTTATGTCCCATTCTTCGTCACTGGCTTTGCTTGCATATTATTTCATAATTGTCAGCTCAAATTTTTTTCTCAGTGAACTTTTTGAACTTTCGTGTTCATAATTTATGTACTTCCATAGGTGAAAGAACCTGCTATTCCTAGAAGTTGCAGTGATGCCACACTCATTTTGTAGCATCACTTCTCAGCCACAAGCTTCAATGTGTATTCTGTGTGTTGCGCAACACAAAGCAACACACAACTGTGAGCATGAATGCTTTTACAAAAAGCAATATGGAAAAAAAAATCAAACATGCATTGGTGTTGAACTTGTGTAGTAAAAAAGGAAAAATGTTGAACACACTTTGGAACCACTTAGACATATATAAATGTCTAAGATACTCCGTGTTTATGATACATCAACCTCATAATGTTTGAAACTCTTCCACTCATTAGTTTTAGTGATTTTGCTGACTGATATTTGTTAACATATTTATTATCCAAGTACTGTATTTATACAATAAGATAAGGTAAACTCAATTTTTTAACTTGGTGACTTTTACTATATAAACAGTCGGTTGCACTGGGTTTTATGTGTGGTGATTTGGAGGACTGCTGGTTATTTTAGTAATCAATTATTCTATCTGTTTATTCAGGCGACTAATAGGCTAAAAAATATAGGTGAATTCTGCAGCTTTTTAATTTAACCACTTAAGCCTCTTTGTACAATAGTAAAAATACATTCATAGATGCAAATGGTTCAATTCATTTTAACATTTTATTGCATAAAATACAATAGCATATCATTCCTTTAGTGTATGCTTGATCATTTCCAGCAAAGGATGTATGAGCAGATTTAAAAATGCTTCCGACTTCAACATATAAAAAGCGCCGCCCTTTCTACAGAACAGTGTAGATTCAATCTGTTGACTTTTTTTGAATCAACCAGTTATTAATTGGATCGCAAGAATTGGAAATTGAGAAATTGGAGATTTATTTGACACAATTTAAACTGGATGAAGCTAAACCTATGCAATTTCATGTATATTTTTTTAATTGTTAATGCAAAATAAATATTTTTTGCAGTTTTGCTTAATTCCTGCTCTCAGTGTGTTGTTCCTTCAACAATTATCCTTTTTCGTTTGAGTGTGTATCTTCCAGTTAACGATTATTTGATCTTTAAATTAGTTGACGATTATTTAAATAATTGATTCATCATGGTTTCTTAGTGATAAATATAGGGTTTAATACAAATGTCCATCTCCTTTTCAAGATTTTTTTTTTTAAATTGCAGCAGTTTTAAAAATTATGCGTTGTTTTCCTTCCAGCTAGCAGCTATATGGTACTTTGTGTCAGCCTATCATAAAATCCCAGGTTTGTGGCGCTGTATGTGAAAATGTCCTCAAACACAAAAATAAATACCATTGATTTAACACTGATATTAATTTTTAAAATTGTTTTAAAAATTGCATTCTTAAAACAATTTTGAGAATTGTTTTAACTTTATTTTGTTGATCTAAATAGGGCACAGATGACGTGAAGTAACACAACTCCTCCGTCGTGAGCCATTACCTGCTTCGGCCGACGCACAGTGACCCTCGAGACATCTGAAAAAAAAAAGAAAAAATCCCAGACAGCATTCGTGTCTGCAGCTCCTCCAGCACCTGAACCATGTGAGGGGGCCCCCTCGGTCCGACCTGAGGGGAACCCTGGACTGTTGAAACGACGACCCCTGACCCCCGCTGTGCGGGGAAGGACTCATCCCGTCTCAAACTTCACAACCCCCCCTCAGATCCCTGCCCGCACACTCCCACTCTCTGCACGCCATGATGTTCCGGGATCAGGTAGGTATCCTCACAGATTGGTTCAAAGGCTGGAATGAGTGCGAGCAGACGGTGGCGCTCTTGTCGCTCCTGAAGAGGGCGTCCCGCACGCAGGCTCGCTTTCTCCACATCTGCCTGGAACACTGGCTGGCAGACTGCACTGAGATCCACATCCTTGAAGCTGAGGCCAACAATGCAGGTAACTCCGATTTACCGTTTGACTTAAGGGAGTGAACAATTAATCAACTTACAACTATCGATTACTAGTTTATTAGATTTAAATTAGTTCCAATCTGACATTTAAGGTCTTCAG